GGGGCTGAATAATTTTGCACGCCCAATTTTTCAGTTTTTTTATTTGTTAAAAAAGTTTGAAATATCCAATAAATTTTGTTCCACTTCATGATTGTGTCCCACTTGTTGTTGATTCTTCACAAAAAATTACAGTTTTATATCTTTATGTTTGAAGCCTGAAATGTGGCAAAAGGTCGCAAAGTTCAAGGGGGCCGAATACTTTCGCAAGGCACTGTACTTACACTCAGGTTTCCATTCACAGGCTTTTTTTAAAGACAAATTATTCAGTAATGAAAACAATTTTTAATTTTAGCTCTGTATTTAGCTTTACACAGATGATGATGCTAATAATAATGATGATGATGATGATGATGATGATGATGATAATTATTATTATTACAGAAGGATTAGTTACATTTCCCCTGTTTTGTTTGTCCTCTAAATGAGAACCCCCTTGAGTCCTTCCTCAGTAGTAACTTTTCCATGATCAAGGCTCCTCAAACAAACAGGAAAAACCAGGTTGGCAGTGTGTGTTAGTGTACTGTCCTGCAGCAGCTGTGTGCAGGTCGAGGCCAGCTGCAGCATTCCTCCCTGACTGCAGAACAACTCAGGAGAGATCTGGTAGGAGCAGGACTGATCAGTCAGCCAACTCCTTCAGGTTACAGTCACCCAAAGACGGGAAACACCTCTGTCTGTCTATGGGTTGCTCTGTATGGAACTGTTTAAAAATGTATGTGTAATCAGTTTCCTTCATTAATTGTGTAAGCAATAGGTACTGCCAAGGAATCTCAGGCTTTTTTGTTCTAGCCAAATAGTGAATAATACCAAATTCTTGAAATAGAAGTGAAATAGCAGTGAATTTAATCCATGCTGCCTGTTGCTGACTGATTGTGTCACTTGCGAGTTGCTTCAGAAATAATTGGGTGTTGCATCTCTCATGCTTCATATCTGTGTTTGTCTGAAGTTGAGCTCATTTCGAGATGTGCTGTATGGATGTGTACGCTAATCTAATCAGTCATGTTGCTGGAAGCAAAAAGAACCCAGGTTACTCACTTTTAAAAGTTCCATTGTGTATGTGTGTGTGTGTGTGTTGAACCCCACCCTGTGTTTAATGTGCAGCTGGTGTCAGTTTTAGCCAATGACAGGGAAGATTATGCAGTTTTCTTCTACATGGCCATGAATAACTCTTGTTTCTGACTGGTGTCAATCCAAGGCTTATATGAACAGTTTAGACATGGTGCCGAACAGTTTAACCACAGGTCTAAATCACTGCAGGACATGCATTAAACTACACGTAACCAGCGTTGCTCAGCCCACCACTTTGGAACAGAAATATCTCAGAAATGACTGGACCGATTACCATGAAATTTTGTACTCCTGCTGCTCAGAGGATGGATCCTGCTGGTGCTGGATGGTCCCCTGGCTTTTCCTATAGCACCTCCAAAACTTTTCACTGATGCTGTTTAATACTGCAACATCTGCCTGGAAATTTTGAACTGGTGTCCAGGTGGTTATCCTCAGACTTTTTATTTCTTGCAAAGACAAGTTTCATGTTTGTGGTTTTGAGTTAAATGTCTCCACAACTATTGTTTCTGGATTTTCATTTTTACTTGGAAGACAAGGTAGTATATTTCTTTCAACATAAATTATGCCATTTATTCCTTCATTTAATCTTATTTGTCTAGTCTTGCACCAGTGAGCTGACGTGGAGGATTTGTCAGTAACGTTATTATCATCAGTCTGCATTAACAATGAGCTGTTTCAGTACGAGTCATATGCTGTTCTGCCTAAACCATTAAAAAGTCATTTAAAACTAATTTGTTATGTAGACATTGTAAGGCTGGACCAAATTATTTGACTATTGTTTCGTTGAGTAGGTAGTCAGTTTTCAGTTGTAGTATTCAAGTTTTTGTGACTGCAGGAAAATTTCAGTGTCGTATGAGTCTGATGATGAAGATGAATTGTTTATGGTAAGTGCTGACTGCCTGTGACTTCAAAGCTCTAGCTGGAATACTCTGCCACTGTAGACATTTAACATTGCCTGAACAACTGGACAGTGTGTGTCTGTAGGGTTGAACTAGTGAGAGAAGGAAATGAATAATTTACCACAGGCTTTTTAGCCCCCCCACACACACACACACACACACACACACCCCAGCCAGTCATCCGTCTGTATGCGGGGAGACATCCACACACATCCGTTCTTACACACTCAGAGGTTGGTGCTCTCATCGTAAGTGGCCTACTTAGCCAGCTGTTGAGCAGTTAGCAACTCATCCCCAAAGATCCTGGGATGGAAAATGCACAGTCACACATATATAGTACCCACAGCAGCTTTCTTGAGGTTTTTTTTTTTTTGTATGTGCTCCTTGCTTTCACAAATCTGTCCAACCAGTAGTCTTATGTAGTGTGGTCACAGGTTGTGAGCAGACGAATTCGTTTCATTTTAAGAACGTTTAGAGTCCCGACCTGAAGTCTCGAGGAGGTCAATATATGTGTTGGAAAGATTTTTTAAAGCAGTTTATGGGGCCTGGAGAGGCGAAGCCAATTCTAGTGTTTAATGTATTTTAAGAGGCTCAAGGAGGTGAAATGATCAGAATCAGAATCATTATCCAGAATTTTATTTATTCATTAGGGATGGGAAATGATTTTCAAATATTTGAAAAGTCTATAGTTTTGTCTTTAAAAACAAAGAGCCACTGTTTTCCCTTGCTTTTACCAGTGTCTGGAAGCAACGCGATAATGGGGTCATTTTACTACAGCGCCAAATACAAACAGCAGAAACATACAGAGACTGCAGCCATCAAGAAAAACGGTCACGACGCGACCGGATAAACTGATGCATGTGAGCTGTGCAGTCATTTGACAAGTGTTGAAAAGGCGTCTCAGATTTATCTTGAGATCCCTTGAATGGGGTCTAAGGTTGGGTCTTCCCTATTTCAGTTGATACAGCTCATGTGCACTTCAGTGTAATGTTTTAGAGACAGACCTGCACAGAGGAGCACAGAATCAGAGCATACTCCTCTCTGCTCTTCTCAGTGGCAAACAGTACCAGGCACTGTGCGAGTGAGAGATGTGTGCAGTGTTATAAACTGAAGCCAGTCACTGCTAACACATGCTAATCCTAGCTCATGCACACTGGTCCATGATGTCCAGAAACCAGCTGTGGTGTGGAGATGTCACAGGAGAATTGATATGATAATTTTTACATTTATCAACCTCGATTATTCACTCTATTATTCACAAGTATCTGGTTCTGCTTATTATATCAATATATGACAGTAACGATGATCCAAGTATTGAGAAAACTAATCTGGATTCTAATTTGGGCCGTAATTATTATTAAGTGGACTGATTTTCAGAAATTGATTCAAGCATCTTTTGCCATGTTTTCTCATTCTGCCTTATTGCACACTTATTCATTCACCTACTGTATTTATAAATGCAGTCATACCTATGCTCCCTCTATGATTTCATTTCTGGATTCATATGCTTATGACAATAGCTCAGTGTTTGTCCAGGGCAGTGGTTGTACAGACTGTGGACCTTTCTGAATACACACATGAAAAAAACACAGGCATGCTCCATTAAAACCTATTACTTCTAGATGTGCGATATTTCTTGCCTCTGCAAATTTCTTTTTGTGATGTCAGTGCACACTGTGGTGGTCCTATGTGGCTGTTGTGTCTTGAGAAAGCACTCGGTGGCATCTGACCTGCTCTCTATTGTACACGTCAGGCATTTCCTGGTCAACCGGAGGAAGGGTGGAGGATTCAAGCCATACACAGGTGTGTGTGTGTGTGCGCGTGCTGTTTTTGGAGGGGAAAGAACACAAGAAGAACTGTGATCACTGTTTCAGAGAAGGCTTGCGCGTGCACACACACACACACACACACACATCAGTTGTTAAGAAGAAGACGACATTTTGTTGTAAATGTTTAAGATCAGTGTTTTCGTATCTTGGGCTTCTTCGTGGTATTTTCCTCAGCAGCCACAGAAATCCTAAATAAACATTTCATTTTTCTGGACCCACATTTTGTCTACAAAGACGTATTTGACTTTGAGACGATGTGTTCTTTTCTTAGCTTGTTTCATGCAATATTTTAAAAACTTTTCCTTAACCCCCTCTAGCTCCATGGGTTATGTGTTTTAGAAATGTGATCTGCTGTCACCTGCAGCTCCAGATGACTGCCTGAGGCCAGTCAGCACTAGAAACCGTGTTCAGAACCGGACAGTGGGTGGTTCAAGTGACTTGCTCTGAATCTGTGTCTCACTTTCATTCTACATCAGGTCAGCCTATTTAGGTTTTGAACAGGCAGATATTCAAAGTGGAATGCTGGCAAAAAGCTAAGACTACTCAAAAAACCAAGATGCAAAACCACTCGATGAGTATGCTATTGGTGGACATTGTTTGCACAAAAGAATTCAAGAAGTTTATAAATGGAGACAAAACATTGAGGATGGTGGTGAAATGGCTAAAGAACACCTCAGTTATCATAGTGCAGTTATAGGTATTTTCATTGATTATCTAATTATTGATGATTTAATTAATCTGTTTTATATGCTCAATTATTTGGTTTGTACAATCAGAGGAAATGGTGAAAAATCCCAATCAATATCCTACAGCCAAAAGTGACAGTTGCTGATTAGTTTGTTGTTGACTGATTAATGGACTAATTGTTTCAGCTCCCTAACATTTCTTATTACATGGCATTTACTGTTGACATGCCCTTAAGCAAAGTTTTGAAATAGACTACTGTAAGTGGCTGTGGTTGGCAGCAACTCCCAGCTGGGAATGTATAAAAATGTTTGTGAATAATGGTGAAAGAACGCCCCCTAATGGAGCATTTTGTAGGTGCATGTGTTTCACCTCTTTCTTTCATCACTTTTGTCGTTTGTTTGTTTGTTTTTTGCACAGCCTTTACTCAGGAAATACTGTGCAGCGTTGGTGGAGAAGTGACAAACTGATCTTCAAGTAGCAAACACGTTTTTTCTGGCTTTTTTAAATTCTCTCTCCCCACCTCTTCTTTCCTTTTTGTTTGTTTGATCTGATTAATTACTGAGGTTGCTTGTAACACAGGAATACAGTAAGTGGATAACAGTGAATTTCAGTGTTTTAGTTGATGCCACATTGGAGTTGTCGGGCTGGAAGTGGAGCAGCTCTTTTTAGAAATTTAATGATGCCTCATTGTGTAGGACTGCAACTATCTTTATTATTAATTGGTCTGTGGATAATTTCTTGATTAATGAAGAAAAACGAACATTAGGATTTTCTCTGCTTTGCACAGAAAACATGTTTAGATCTGTTTTATCATCATCTAGATAAATGTCACTGGGCAAAAAAGCAGCTTGCTCCAGACTTAACATTAAGTGCAGATCTGCAAGAAGTGGAGTCCATAAAAATAACATAAGCTAGGGTTAAAGCTAAGATCAGACAAAAAAGGAAATAATCCAGTTTGTAAAATCAATATCTAAAATGTGACCTTTGACTTGAAATGATTCTCATTTCTTTTTACCTGTTGTTTTCTCTTTATTTCTTCAGGTCTGTGTACGATGGTCAGGAACATGGCCTGTTCATGGAGAAGCTGGATGTGCGAATCCGGAACCATGACCGAGAAATTGAGAAGATGTGTAACCATCACTTCCAGGGGTTTGTCGACTCCATCACCGAGCTTCTCAAAGTACGAGGAGAGGCGCAGAAACTGAAGGTAAGGAGCGAGTAGGAAGATTGTGTGACGGAGATGAGCGTTAACAGATTCACAGAAAGATGGTTTACAGATTAAGATGGTAGACGGCTGGTTTGAATGCGATGTGTAAGATGCAGAAAACTGAAGGGAAAAGTAAATATGGAATGACAGTTTGTGATATGTTTGTCTCATGTTTGTTCTTATTCTTTCAGAGCCAGGTGATTGAGACCAACGATGATATGAGACAAACATATCACAGTTTGTTTTTATTTTTTCAGAGCCAGGTGATTGAGACCAACGGGCGTCTTCAGGATGATGGCAAAATGGTGAGTTGACAGGTTCATAAATATCAAAGATGTATGTTAGAAGTTGCAGGAGACTTATTAAATTCACCCAATTTCTTCACCCTTCTCCTGTTTCAGCTCATTAGCTCCATGGAGGAGCTGAAACAATGTCGGGTGCAGCAGAGAAACATTGCTACTACCATAGACAAACTGACGCACTGCCTACCAGGTAATGCACAAACCAACCCACAGTGTGGAATACTGTGGATTTAAAGGAGAATGGGATTTATAATGCAGCCATCAGACACTTGACTGTGTTGTCTTACAGTTGAATACAGTTGATGGACTTTTATAGGAGAAAATTAACTGAACTGTTTCAAATTGTATACAGTTAGAAAACATGGAACTGCAGCTCTGTTCAAGTAACCTTTATTACCTTTATTTATTTATTTATTTGCGTTGCCTTTTTTGTTTTCACCAGTCCTGGAGATGTACAGCAAACTTCAGGAGGAGATGAAAGCCAAAAGGTATGTTCCTAATTAGGGGTGGCACGATACCACTTTTCCATGTCCGATACCGATACCGATACCCCAATTTTGAGTATCTGCCGATACCGATCCAAAATGATATTTTTCCCCTCTGTTAAACAATTGCTTAGTAACACATTTGTCAAATATTCTACTCTCCTAAAGGAAGAAATACATCGCCCACAACCATGAGTTGTGCAACACTGCTGCTTAATTTTTATTTCAATTCTTCAAACAGAGAACTTTTAGCAGCACTTTTGACTAGTCAGCACAATTCAAACATTCAAGTAAAATTTTAGGTGCACCTTTGTGTAAACGTTTGTTATTCTCTAAATACTTAGGTTTGAAAGAATAATAATTCCAGCATCAAACACTGGATATAACCATAACTTAAATAACAATAACTTAACATTAAATGTAATAGAATCTCCATAATTGGACAGTAAAACACAGTAACCTAGTCTGGTATTGAACTGTAAGACCAGTACGAACATTTGAAACATCAAGTAAAATATTTGAATATTTATTCAAGTTTTTCAGTACCTGCCTGGCCATGAAAACTGTCACAAAAACCAGTGCCTCATGTTTTCACTGTCCTTGTTTAACTTAAGTGTGTAACTTCACTTTAACATGAGGGGCAAATTCTTTTTTAGAAAGATTAGCATTTCAGCCTTCTCAGCTGTCAGGCTGCTCCTCCGTTCATCAATAATAATGGAGGCAGAGCTGAAAAGTCTTTCACTCTCCACACTTGTTGAAGGTGCACAGAGAAATCTAGCGGCCATAACCGCCAGGTTGGGCAGCCTAGGTTGGTGGTGTTAAAGTTTCCAGCGCTGCTGCCACCCCTTGAAACCCTCACGCTGCATAAACTGCATTCAGCTTTGCTTTTGTCCTCTTCGCTGAGTTTAAAATAACTCCACACAGCCGACATGGTAACGCTGATCGGTCTCACTCATGCCTGTCGATCTCATGTCTCGTAAAGCAGTCATATGATAGTTTAAAACAAATTCTCTGTAGAGTATCGGATCGGATTATACGCCCCTCTCTTTGCGATATCCGATCCACAGATTTTGGCCAATATTGGACTAATATCGATACTTAATATCGGATCGGCTCACCCCTATTCCTAATTGCATTTTTTGGCGATTAAGACTGTCATCATCAGATTATTAATTTTTTTTTATCTTTTCCCCTAAATTGATAGATTTATATCAGTTACAGTGTGAGAATTTAGGCATGTAGGTAACATTTCCTGCAGATATTGGTTCATATGTTTTAACTAAAGTATTAAATGTATCCATCAATCACAAAGTAGCCTACTGGATTTTCAGTTGGAGCTCAAATGTAGATACTGGGTCCTTGCAAGGTCAGGATTTGGGGGTCCACCTGAGAGTCAGTTATACAGTAGGTGACAGAAGGGTCCTTGGAGTCTTGGAACACTGCATGGTGAGGAAGAAGTCAGCGCATTCAGTCCTGGATCCACACTCTTAAATAGAAAGTAATATGGTCAGTGGCAATTGTAGTACTGATTGGGAGGGACCAAAATTGTAACCATGATTTCATATTTTTATTATTATTATTATCCTGAGATATCACAGATAACTTGAATACATATTGATGTGTAAATGTTTCCCATCTCTTTAAATGCACATTTGAATATTCATCGCAATAATCACTAGTACACTTTGGCCAATTTAACTGTTGTTTCTCTGCCGCCACAAGATGGAGCCAGAGTGCTTGGAATGGAAATACAAAAGCTTCTGTGTTTCTTTTTGCCTTCCTGCCCTTGGTCTGACCTGTAGAAAAGAGTCTGCTTGGTCATAAATTTGTTCTTTGTTTGTGTGTTTTTCACCTACTCTCTGTTCTGTAGCTGCTGGGCTCACAGAGAGCAGGAAGAGGTCAGCCAACAACTGCTGTCCATAAAGAAAGTGTGTGTGTGTGGAGTAGGTGGTTGGGGATATTGTATTGCCAAAGCTCCCTGAGGTGTATCTGAGTTTATTTTTTTTTCTCTGTGCTTGTAGGTGTGTTTTGTCTTGTGTGTTTCTGCTTGGTTCTAGTAATGCAGCAGACAGTCAGGACAGTGTTGTATTGCTATGTGTCCTTGAGGTTTGCTGGTTCATTCACCGGAGTTTAATTTGAACCTGAAGTTTAAATTAAGTTCATAAGAAATCAGCTGACTGAATTGTTGAATAAACAAATTAAGTGGGCTTTTTCAAGTGCATGATTCCTGTGTGTGTGTGTGTGTGTGTTACTGTAGGTACTACCCTGCTTTGCGGATCTTGGAGAACCTGGAACGGACTTGTCTTCCGAGAGCGGGTCAGTACCGGTTCTGCTCTATCATGGCAGAGAACATCCCCAAACTGAGGACACAAATCAGGGACACGGCTATGATGCAGCTGAGAGACTTCCTGGAGAGCATCCGGAAACACTCAGACAAGATAGGAGAGACGGCTATCAAACAGGTACACAAACATACAACCGTTTTTAAGTATCTACAATGTTTATGTAATCATACATGCTAAATTTTGCTTTCTAGGTCCAACACAAACTACTGCTTGATACTGATGGGAGTACTGTTAGTTTTGCAGGTTGGCCAGATAAACAAAATCTTTTTTGACCCAGTGGTGGCACTAGAGTCAAAGTTAGAGTTCATGCTATTACAATTCATCAGGAGGAGGAAACAAATTTGTGTACTAAGTTCCAAATCAATACTGGTGGACTGAGCAGCGCCATCTCTTCCACACCACTAGCCTGCCTAAAAATAGTTTTCACACCTGTAACTTGAGCAATCAGCTGACAAATGTAAATGCTTACACATTTCTACATTTGCTGGTGATGTGAAATGTCTCTGAAGGAAGAAATCATCTTTGTGCAGCCACTTACACAAACATTTGTGATGGTGTACCACTGTTGATCCAGAGAGCAATCAGTGCAGAAAAGCTGGGAGCAAATGTCAGTGTGATTGACTTGAATGGCCATGTACCAGTGTTTATAGAAGTTCATTTTTCAGATAAATCAGTGTGTGTGTGTGTCTAACATCAGTTCACTTTTAAATATATGTGTGAATGTGTCTGTTGGTAAGGACTCCACAGTGTTACCGGCTTGTCTGTCTGCCCTCATACCACATTTGGGTTTTGGTCTCCATCATGCATTTCTCTCTCTTTTAATCAGAAGCAGCCTCTCCATGTATGTGTGTGTCTTTGTGTCTCTGTGTCTTTCTCTGTGGTTCCACTGCCAGTAAACAAGCATGTAGGCGCTGCAGGAGATGTCGTGGCTTGTCAGTGAACACGTGCAGATATACACACTCGCATACACGTACCGATGCAGAGACCCAGCTTTTTAGCACTTACCTCATTGTTCTTCTGTTTTCCAAGGCCAAGGAAGTTACATATGACTGTGTCCGTTTGTCTTTTGTAGTATCCATAGCTCACTTGGAGGTCTCTTGTGTATTTGCGTGCTTTCATTAGTTGGGGAATGTTGTTCCTTGGAGTTGCAGGATGAAGGGGAGGGATGGGAATGAGGAAGGAGGGTTTGCTGACAGAGAGATGAAGACTTGGAGGAAAGAAGATGCATATTCATAAATGTACTGAAATCAAATCTTAGCTTCCTTTGTTAGTAATTGTAGATTGAGACCTTTAGCAAATAATTACTTGTTACATTGACCTGCTTGTCTAAGATGCATACCAGCATCCCTGTTTGAACCTGGCCCTGGATCTTTGTTACACTTGGTTCCATTCTGTTTGCCAACATTTCCTGCCTGTTTCTTACCTGAACAGCATCTTAGGAAATACTGAATAATTAAATTTTACTTTACAGTAGGGCCCTGTAACCTGGTTACTCTATTTTGCAATGAGAGGCAGACATTTCTAAAATTAGTAGGTTCACTTGACACTTTTCAAATTTAGAAGTCTTCATTTGAAGCAAAAGTTTTGGATCCTCACTTCCTGTAGATAAGTGTCTTTACACACAGTACAGCTGCTTCATTCAGGTGAAGGTGATTATACTGGTACAGTCAGTGGAGATGGTCCCTGTTATAGCTCATCTGTGAACTTTAGGCTTTTAAACTGAATTTATATTGATGAAGATTGTTAATTGGTGCAGTTATTTGTTATATCTTGTTGTTCCTGCTTGTTTTTAGAGAACATTAGTCCAATTAATGCCACTGAGCGCTATTAAGTGAACCCGTCTTGAGTATGTTTTCTGATCATGTGTTCCTTGTAGCCACCCATTTTGTGTTGGTGAGTTCTGGTACAAATAAAAAACCATGTCACTAAACACAGATCATTTTAAACTGGTTCCACAGCCATTATAATGACTTAACTCTACAGTTATATAGGATATAGAGCTGGAGTCGTATGGATGGCTAATCACTGAATGCTCCAGTATAGTTGGTGCCCTTGTTTAACACATCTGTTGACATTGGATAGTAGTTTACAGCCCTAATTGTTTACTCTTCAGGAAGAATCCACAATGATGGAACTTCCTTTAGATGTCACTAGAGGATCATTTCTTAGCGTTTATCCAAATCAGTGCTATTTCTGGTTGTCAAGGGAGTTTACAGGTCCTCAAGCACCTATAGTGAAACGTAACCGTCGCAAGTCACTGGTTACATGGATGGTTTTATGAGCATGAAAATTATGTGACCCATATGTTATGGCTACCAAATCTCAACTCACTAGAACAGTTATGGAAGATTATAACTGTGCTTTGCAACACAATTATCATCAAAACACCAAATGGGTATATATTTTTTTTAATAATTAGTTTTATAGAGTGATATTCATCCTTCCAGAAGGGTCCTGCTACATAAAATAAGATAATCCTTTTTTTCATTGTAACACGTACAATGAAATTTTAGTGACCTCCAGTCGGTGCAGCAATAAAAAAAAAAAAAAAAGAAATAAAACCATATTAAAAACATAACCACTTAAAAAAATAAAATAAACAGACCTCTCACCCCCCCTTGATTTGATTACTCTGTGCTGTCTACTTGACAGAAGCATTTCAAAGAGTGAACATCCAGGGTGTGAAGTGTCCTTAATGATGTTCTGAGCTTTTTTGAGGCAGTGTCTAGGAGTTTTGAAACTGTTCTCAGTCCCTGAGAACAAACAACATCTTACTAAGTCAATTTCTGTAGTTTTTTTTTTCTTTATTAATTTTTTGTAGCATTTGTTGATTAAATCAATACATTCACAGCAAGCAGGGAGTTCATTGTCATCACATTGAAACTACAAACACTAAAGTAATGGAGTAAGAAATTTGGTTCAGATGACGTTTATACTTGTGTAAAAAAAAAAATAGTCCCCACATATTGTATCACTCCACATGCATACACTGAACCTTTCAATGATCCTTCAGGTGGGGGGTCCTTGAATTGTAATTAGAGAATCACTGGCGTAGAAAATCCACTTGCAGTCCCTGAAGAAGCTAACCGCTAACTCCTCTAACCACTAATTACAACAGAGATTATGGAAACCAGTGGTCCAACAGACCTCATACTGATACTTGTATCATGTTGGCTCCGAGTGCTCACACTCAGCAGCCACATGTTTTTGTGTTTGTGTGTGTGTGTGTGTGTGTGTGTGTGTGTGTGTGTGTGTGTGTGTGTGCTTGCACACGGGTGAACAAATTAGAAGTTCTCCTCCTTTCCTTCCTCTCCTTTGTCCCTCTTTTCCTCAGTTTTTCTTAATGTGCTTTTGCTTTTATTTCTGTCTCTCCATCTCTTTCTTGCTCAGACAGTGTGTCTCTCTGGTGTGCTCTGTTCCAAATTAGCTGTAACTCTCTGTACCCAGCCGTTGTTACAGCTCCCTTGACCAAGGATGTGAAAATAAATAGATCTGGGGAAAGAGGAGGTGGAGGAGGGCATGGAGAGAGGAGAGTGCAAGGCTCACAATGGAGCTATTGTCTGTTGCCACATACTCATAGAGGAGGAAGAGAAGAGAGGGTGGAAAAGGGTATGGAGGAAAAGGATGAGGAAGAAGACAGCAGAGAGGGAGGAGAGGGGGAAGTATGAGAGTGGAAAGGGAGGGAAACAGAAAAGAGGAAAGGGAAGAGGAGGAAAAAGGTCAAGACAAAGTGAAGAGGAAGAAATGAGCAAAGAGGACAACAGGGAAAGGATGGGAAAAGGGAGGAACAAGATGTAGGAAATCATGGATGCAGATGAGAGAAACAGAAGGACTGTGCAAATAGGTTGTTAAATAAGATAAAGGTGGTAGACATTTAGGGGAAGGGGGTAAAACAAGTGGGCAAATGAGGAGAAAATGGATATGTTTAAGGAAGAGGAGGAAGAGAGTGGAAGTAAAAGCAAAAGGGAGACAGGAGTAAGGATACCGCTGTATGGAGGAGGACTAGGAAAATGAAAATAGAAGGAGAAAGTGATAAAGAGGAGTATCCAGGTAAAAAAAATGGGGTAGAGGGTGGAAAGGGACAGACAAGGAAGAAAAAAGGTATGAACAGAGATAAGAGAATATTGGATGATGGAGAAAAGAAATGGGAAGAAGAGAGACAAAACCCAAGAAAGTGAATGAAGGATAGGTAAGATGAATGAAAGGGTCAGGTGTGCAGAGGAAGTGGGAATAAGAGAGGCCATGATCTGACAGTCAGTCAGTCTAGGGTTGCTTGAAGTCGAGCTAAATCAGGCTCATCAGCTTTATTCCCTTGACTGAATGTGACTTTTGCTACTGCCAATGCAACTGTGCAAAGTCTTAGGCATTTACGACATTTAGATTCTTATTCCTCACACTATACCATCAGGGAAGTGTCCGATTGGCCCCAAATTCATTGTGTGGCATGATCAGCCCAATCATACAGCCGCAAAAAAGCAAGGAGTCTATGAAGTGAAATCAGTCACAATTTGTAACATCAAAATTAGGATTTGAGTGGTTGAAAATACACGTATAGTGATTGTGTAAAATGTTTTAAAACCGAAAATATGGTTCAAACATTAGAAAAGATTAAAATTTTTGAAACTTCATTAATATGCGTCTTCAAAGCTTTGAAAGTTGGTTTACAGGTATTCGGCACACTCAAGACACCAGTGGAAGGACAGAGACTAGGAAATGAGAGGGATTTTGAACATTTTTTCATAACTCACTGCCCTGTCACTTGCCATTTCCCTCTTTCCTTC